AGTCAAACTGTTTTAGACAGCTAATGATATTAACTCTATACCATCTCCATGAATTCCACCATGACCCTCTTCAAAGAAAAAAACTATACTCTTGCAATTCATTACCATTAGGTTGGGGAGTCGGAAGAGAGCAGCAGAAGGCAGGGGTTCTTAACTCAGAATTCATGAATTTTTTTAATGTTTTGCTAACTATATTTCAATATAATTGGTTTCCTTTGTAATCCTATGTATTTTTAATGTACTTGAAGTCATTATTCTGATCCATAGGCTTCGCTAGACTTCTAAAGGAATCTATGACACAAAAATGATGAAGAACCCCTGGTGGAAGGGAAAGAGAAGAAAAAAATTGGGCAGCACAGATTTTAGGGAAGAATGCAAAAAAAAAATTAAGCATCTACAAGATATTATTAAGGTGACATTCTCAATAATAATAATGTTATTAACCACACTCATTATGTGGCTGCTGCTACATCTCCATGAGCAAACTGAAGGGAAGAAAACAAATTTTTGCCTGGATTGATTAAGTTCACCCACTTTGGTTTCTTTGGGTGGAAATCAAGCCCTATGTAAATGTCCCACAAATACCACACGCCATTTTAATAATGTAAGAATTGGTTTGTTTAGGGACTTTTCCCCCTAAGGTGGAAATCTTCCAACATGATTAATGTAGCACAGATCATGTTATGTTAGGAATCCGTGGTTATACACAAGAAGCATTTCATTTATTTGCCAAGGTCAAACTTAAGCAATTAAAAAAACAATAACAACAAAAATCTAATGGGGGAGGGGGTACGGGGAGGAGGAAAAGGGCAATACCCACAGCAGACCATTTGGTTTATGCAACTAAGGTCTCTAGAGCTCCTCATAGGATCTGCTTCATTTCCATTTCCCTATTCCCTACTGCCTTAGCCTTCCCAGTGAGCCATCTTGTGAGAAAACTACTTTTATACAGCAAAGCAAGGGTCATTGGATTCCATAGCCCTTTCAAAATGACTTCAGTACATGATCCTTCAATAGCATAGCCTCCTACCCACATAAAATCACTTCTAAATAGTCACATGGTTGAGATCATCCTTTCTGAATGAGGTGCCCTTTTCCACCAATATTACCAGGTCTTTCTTGGGCAGCACTCAGTTGAAGGATTACAGTCACCCTGTATTTAACCACTTACAGATATAGCATTGCCAGAGGGGTTGCCAAGATGATCTTTTAGCTATAAGATCTCAATGGACAGCTTGCTCTATAAACTTGGATCAAATTGAGTGGCAATTAAGAGTTCCTGAAGGATTCACCCTAAAGCAGCAGATGTTGGAAGAATTTGCTACACTATTGGGGACCAATAAATAGGTCAGAAGTGGACATAGAGTTCACTTTTTCCACTTCTGATTTCTGAAATAAAACATTTCTACTGCACTCTGTGTGTCTCTTCATAAGTTTTACATTACCTATTATTCATATTACTCTACAACTTACAGCTGCCAACTTGTTACTATGGGAGGAGAACATATACTGATACACTATATACTGTTAGAAACTTAATTAACATTTATGGGTTGGAAAGGAAACTGAAAGATTCTTACATAAAATAAGACATTCTTGGGCCTGATCCAGTGATATATAAGCTACACTGGGGAAAGAAAAGGAAAAGGAAATCTCTTCACCAATTAAAGTTCCATGAAATGTTTCAGAGTGTGGAATTTACCTAATTCTAGAAAAAAAAAGTTATCCCAATGGGCTTCAAAACTCAATGACTCTTCAACAGGCAAACAATTAACTTCTTTTTAATAATTAATTCTCCATTGGATCAGAAATAATACCAGTGTGGGGAGGAGTGGATAGCATTGTATAGAGAAATGTATCATTGGATTTGGGGTCTGAGGAAGGCCCTGGGTTCAAATCCCACTTCCTCAAATGACTTCTTATGTCACTGAATAAATCCTTTCACCTCATTTGGCTGTACTTTGTCATCTCTAGAATGAGGGGTTTAGGTTACATTGCCTATAAGTTTCCTTCCAGTTTTAAAATTTTAAATCTCATATTACAGGGAAGTAGATTTGGTCTCAATATAAGGGAAAATTTCTTAACAATTAAAGCTGTCCAAAAATGGAAGAAGCTGACTTATAATCTAGTAAGGCACCCAATATTTAGTTAAATTTCATTTGTCAAGGGCATAATATGTGCAAGGAACCGTGATAGGCACTTTCAATACAAAGACAAAAATAAAATTGTTTTTGCCTTCAATGCACTAACATTTTACTTAGGGGATTCAACTTGTATGCAAATAAGTCAAATGAAATTTGAGGAGGAAAGCATTAACAATAATAATAGGTAGTATTTATATCTCAAATTAAGGTTTGCAAAGTGCTTTACAAATACTATCTCATTTTATCTTCACAACAACCCTGGAAGGTAGGTACTATTAATACCCCCATTTTACAGATGAGGAAATTAGTGCAAACTGAGATTAAGTGTCTTGCCCAGAGTTGCACAGCCAGTAAGTTGCACAGCTAGTAAGAACTCAGTTCTTCCTGACTCTCAGTCTAGCATATTCACTGAGCCACCTAGCTGCCTCTGAACAACTAAGGAATCAGATATTCTGAGAAGGTGGCACCTGAATAGAACTTCAAAGGAAAATAAGAGTTCTGAGATGCAGAGATGAAGAGGGATGGCATTCCAGGCAGGGGGAACAACTCCAGCAGATAAATGGAAGCATGAGTTTGGGGAACACCTAGTATTCCGGTAGAAAAGATTAAAGAGAATAATGTGAAATAAAACTGGGTAGGAAAGATGGAGCCAGGTTGTAGGAAAGAGAAAAGCCAGGTCATTGACCTGAGGGAGTCAAAGAACGATTCCCTCTGCAAAAATAGAGAAATGTGAAGGACAGAAAGGTTTAGGAGGAAAGATCAATTCTATTGTTGACATGCTGAGTCTGAAGTTCCAATGGAACATCTAAATGGTTGTAACTATGAGATTGAAAAATTCAGAAGAAAGATTAGAACAAGATACGTAGATTTGGATGTCATGTGCCTAGAGGTAATAATTTAATTAGAGGCAGCTTGGTGGTATAGTGGATAGAATTTTGTACCTGGAGTCAAGAAGACTTAAATTCAAATCTTGCCTTGGACTCTTAATAGCTGTGTGACCCTAGACAAATCACTTAATCTCTGCCTGTTTTAATTTCATAATTGGTAAAATGGGGATAATAATAGCACCTACTACCTCAGGGCTGTTGTAAAGATCCAATGGTATAACATGCACAGCTCTGTGCATACCTTAAAGTGCAATCTAAAAACTACTACTTATTATTTTTACTACTATATCTTTGTTAATTAAAATGTAATTCCTATTATTATCTTTATTATAATTACCATTATTATTATCCTTATTAATTGGTTGGTTGGTTGCTGTCCTTCATTCTTGAAGAGGACCAAATGACATCACTATGCTAGAGTCAAGTGTTAGCATGTCGGACCGTGGCTGATCAGACGAGCTCAGAATGTTCCACCACAGGTCAGTCACAAATACTTTGTGTGAATGTTTGGGGTGGATGCTCTAAGTTTGTGCATCTCGTGTTTCTCTTGAGCTATTTCAATTCTGCTTTGCTCATAGAGCACAGCACCTTTTCTGATGTGGGCATGCCATGCTGTGCTAGTGTCTCCCATGTCACACAATCAGTTTCAAAGTTCTTGAGAAAGTCCTTCTTCTGACCACCATGTGAACGCTTGCCCTGTGTGAGTTTTCCATAAAATAGTCTTTTTGGCAAGCACATGTTTTGCATTCAAATGACATGGCCAGCCTATCGGAGTTGCACTCTCTAAAGCAGTTCTTATTAATTATTAAGTCCCCCCTTATTGATTAATATTATAATTGCTATTGCTATTGTTATCCTTTGAGGACTAGCCATCTTAAGTTTAGAGAGACATCACTCATATTGGAATTCTATAATACAGTGCTACATAAAATTATTTCAGTGACGTGTTTGGATTTCACAATTATGTACACTATAGCTGTGGTACAAAAAGTTTTTCTGCAAATTCAAAGACAAGAGTAAATGGTGTCACAAACTTTAAAAAAACACACACCCTAGGTACTACTATAATTGGGAAGAGGTCACAAATATTCAAAAATATATTCAGCAATGGAAAAAAGGAAAAAAAGAATCTTATGTGGTCAAGGAAGGATGATAAAAGCACAGGATTTTAGATTTAGAAGTATGAAGAACATGGGCAGGAGGATAGAGCACCGGCCCTGGAGTCAGGAGGACCTGAGTTCAAATCTGGCCTCAGACACATAATACTTACTAGCTGTGTGACTCTGGGCAAGTCACTTAACCCCAACTGCCTCACTAAAAAAAAAAAAAAAGTATGAAGAACCTCATAAATAATTCAATCCACCACCCTCTCTCATTTTATAAATAAGGAAATTGAGGCAAACAGGGCTAAGTGACTTGCCCAGAATCACACAGCTAATAAGTGTCTAAGGATAGATTTGAACTAAAGTCTTTATCTACTGCACCACCTGGCTACCCACCTGGCCGATAGTAGATGCTTAATAAATGTTGATTGACTGGTTGACTGGGCCTAGTATTCTTTCTGCTACATATACAAATACACACGCAAATACAAACACAACTACACATACACATACAAATAAACAAAAAAGAGAGTTCCACACCACAATGTAATTTTAAAGACAGAGTTCACTTAATGAAAAGGGAAGATTAGCTCAATGTATATTCAATGGGAAAGCAAAAAAAAAAATCTCTTTAGCAAGGACCCTCCTCTTAAGAGGGATATATGGAGGCACCTTTACTACTTCCAGAACCCCTTCTAATCAATGACTACCACTGCTACCATTTCCTCTACCTAGGGACAAACAAATACTAGGTCAGATTGACCTAGATTGGATTTATATTTTAACATCTGACAGAATTTTTTTTTCTTCTTAAGGCAGTTAATTAAATTTGCGTGAACATTAATTTAAATCATATAACTATTCACCTTCAGAGGCAAAACTTCCTCCTTCTGCTCAACAAAAATTGGCAATCTCTTCAGAAATGGATTTTCTTCACAGTAGAATTCACTCAGTCCCATCCACCAAATCTTGTAAAACAAAATAAATGTTATTATCAGATACAAAAGTGAAGTTAGCCTCCACAGTTTTCATCATCTCAGCTACAGCATGAAATTGGAACAGATATGCCACTTGAATATTTAAAAAGGAGAATGTAACAGAACTGTTGATTTTGAAAAGCTCAAGTTCATTTAGCCCAGTGGTTCTCAAACATTTGTGGTCTCAGGACCTCTTGACACTCTTAAAAATTACTGAGGACCCCCTAAAGAGCTTAAGTTTATGTGGGTTAGATCTATTGATATTTACTGTGTTCAAAATTAAAATGTCTTCATATTCTTATGAAAATAGTTTTGACCTTGGGGATCCCCTGAAAACTCTCTGTTCCAGCCAGAATGTAAAATTATTCTTCTGTCTTACTGGACCCTCTGAACTTTTGTTCATCTATTGCCCAAGCCTAGAATGAGTTCTTCAGTACTTCATTGCACCCACCTCCTCCTACTGAAATCCTTCCTTCTGTTCAAGGCCAAGATCCATTATGGGATAATGGATTTAAAAGCAGGGGGAATCTTAGAGGCCATTCATTCCAATCTCCTAATTTTACAGATGAGGAAACTGAAGCCCAGAGAGTTTAAGTAGACCCAAATCCTCCTGCCTCCAAATCCAGAATTCTCTCTACTTGCCTTCTCTTTAATCTCTCTTTGGTCCCTCCTGTATATTTAATCTAAGATAAAATATGACTATTTGTGGACGGGTCTACCAGATTTTTAGCTCCATGAAGACAGGGACTGTATTGTTTAATAATTTTTGTACTACCAGTACATCACCAAGTGGGTGCTGTTTGTTGAATTCATATATGCCAAATAATCAGATGTTTGTATAAAGATTTATCTAGCAGCTCTAACAAGGATAGATTTGAAGAAAGAGTGGAAAAGAAAAACTGGTTATCAGGCTATTATCACAGTCTAGGCAGGTGGTAGGGTCTAGATTAAGTTGATGTCCATGGAAACAAAAAGGGAGAATAAATGCAAAAGAGATTATGAAGGAAAAAAAGAAAAGTATATATACCCTGACATGAAACTTAATTAGATATGAAGGTGGAGGAAATAGAAGGAGACAATGATTAGACAAATGTTCCAAAGATACAAGAATGGGTGACCATCTGTGCCACTAACCCATCTACTGGAAACTTTTCCCAAAACCTCTTAATTCTAATGCTTTCCTATTCCTAATATTTCCTATTTATCCTGTATTATAGAGCTTATTTGTACATGTTTGCCTGTAGTCTTCCTATTAGATTGTGAGCTCCTTGAGGACAGAGACTGTTTTTTGCCTCTTTTTATATCCCCAGCACTTAACACAGTGCCTCCTGGCACATAGTAGTGTTTAGTAAATATTTATTCATTGAATGACAGAAATACAGGGGAGGGATAATAAAAAATAATAATACCTTCCATTTATATGGCATTTTAAGGTCTTCAAAGAGCTTTAAACCAAAGCTGCTTAATAAATGCTTATTGGTTGATTAATATATCATCTCATATAACAAAGAAAGGTCAAGCGATTTTACCAATGGCCACACAGCTAGGAAATGTTAGAGGCAGATTTCAAACTCAGGCCTCTCCAGAATCCAAGCCCTCTGAATTATACCACTTTGTTTCCCCTTGAGTACTTGGATGGGTCTGCGCAATCTCGTTAAAGTGTGTACCCTCTCCCAGTGCAGATTGCAACCTTTTAACACTTTCTCATTCTGTACAATTTTCATCCATTTCTTTCCCCAAAACCCTCATGGAGTGTCTGTCTAGTACATGCAGGCTATCCTATGTTGCTTCCGATATCTTAAGGTTATTAGTTTATTGCTGACTATCCATACAAGTGGGCGTGTCTTTTTTCCTTGTCCGTGACAGCATGCCCCATTTTCTGCTTATATCTAATCCTGATATCCTTCATGCCAGTTATCACAATATTGGCATTGATAATACACTTTTGCCTGCTTGCACCTATTTTACTGTTATCTTTGGGTTATTTGCAATTCTGAATCAAAATTACAGAGGAAATAGAATAATTTGGAGAACACATCAAAAGCCTGAAAAGAAGGCAATATATTATATCAGTGATGATGAATTTCAATAATCCAGACATCAACCAGAATTTTTCTCTGATAAAAATTGCCTTAATGGTCATTTCATCTTTCCAAAGGTTAAGGAACCCACAAGGAGGAACTTCTGGATCTGATTTTCAACGAGATAAATGTGGTTTCTGGAGTAAAAATGATGGGAACCTTGTGAGACAGTAACCACTCTATTTCAGAATTTGTGATAGAGAGGAAGAAAACTGGGCAGTGGTATGACATGCACTGATTTGAGGAGAACAGACATCAAAGGAAATTGAGAAAGATTAGGTAGGCTTGTGTGACCTAAAATTCTACAGGGGAGATTAGCCGATGTTCTTAAGAACAAAATTTTAAAGATACAAAGAGGAACAATTCCAACAGGAAGGAAAAAGGATTGCTGTTTAAAGAACCTGTAGTTGCAAGGATGAATTCCTCCATTAATTTCACTTTTTAAGAGAAACAGAAAAAATATTTTTAAAGATAGATGAATATAAAAGTGGAGGTGGGGTATAGCACACGAAAAATAATGTCAGGAGTTCTAAAATTCAGAATGATCTAAGGCTGGAGAGGAAAACTAAAGACTAAAGGATATGGGAGGTGGGGGAGGGAGTCATAGATTATGTATCTTGGGTAAAACAGGATGAGCTGAGAAGGTTTAGGACCCCTGATTAAGGTGCATAGTATAATGAGAATGGAGAAGGAAGAATTTTCCAATTCTTAATTTGTTCCTGTTCTCTCTGCCAAGGAGAATGATCTTTGGACTGGAGAGGACAAAATAAAAAAGATCAATAAGTCACAAATAACCAAAATAAATAAAAAGATAGTAAGAGGGTATGTAGTAATCCTTTATGAGTACTGTGAGAAATGATAATTTCTCTCTTGTATTTAATAACTAATTATTGTATTAGGACCAAGGTTTTCCCCTTTTCTACTTCCTCATCCAGAAATCAACTAGTGAGGGAAATCTCTCTTAAAGATTTATCCAGGCCAAGGTCTAATCAGACAGCAAAAGAAATCCTAAGTTTGGGCTAATGGGTGCATTCATGCTCACTATGTTTGCTCAGACAGGTCTGGGGAAGTATTGATTCTCCCCTTTGTCAGAAAGGTGAAATGGAAATTGATGTGTCTTTAACCAAGACTTGGGTGATCCAAGTCACATACCCCAAGACCCTCATTGTAACATAGCTCATTTTCTCATTAATTGTTAACCAATCAGAGTTGATTGCCATCCCTCAGGAACACCTACTCTTCAAATGGCATATAAACTGTGAACCCACCACCATGAAGGGTCTTTCGGTCTCAGAGAGTCAGTCAAATGACCATCCTTTTACTGAAAATGCTGACATTATTAATAAAATGATTAAAATACCCAGAAACTGTCAGTTGAACCTTTGTAAATATCACAGTACACATCACCAGACTTTGATAAACTACATCCCAGAGTATTGAAAGCACTGGCAGATATCATTGTTTGGCCACTGTCACTGATGTTTAAAAAGATTACACAGAACTGGAAAAAAAAAATGCCCCAGGATTACATAAGGGAAGCATGTCAATTTTCAACAGAAAGAAGAGAATTAATCCTGGGCAAAATCCCCACAATATATTATTATAGAGAGGGTTAGCTGACATCTAAAAAAGGAAATGATGATTAGGGGACCCCTATATTTTCATCAAAAAATAGCTAATGACAACACTGATTTGATCTTCTGTATTGATAGTTACTAGATTAGCAGATTAGAAAAAAAGTTATAGATATAGTTTACTTTGATTTTCACAAAGCATTTGGCAATGTCTGTCAAGTTATTCTTCTGAATGAAGTGGAAAGATGTGGGTTAAACAATAGAACTATTAGATGTATTCATTATCCGCTACCACACTTTAGCTTTATTCCTCTTCCTCTGTGGCTCCTTCTTCCATTGGTGAGTGCTTTTCAGAATCTCCACTTTGAGGAAGGGTCCAGACCAGCCTTTCCTCATTCTGTAGACTTCACCACCATGCTTCTCCTTCCACTGCCAATATCAATTTTTAGCTCCTTTTTATGTTTTGTGTTCAGTTATTAGAATAGAAACTCCATGACAACAGGAATGCCTTTCTTTTTTTGCTTATATCCCTACCCTTTAGCACAGTGCCTAGAACAAAGTAAGCACTTAACGAATAATATTTGTTTACTTGTTACTTTGACTCATTAGTTGTATGACTGAACCCAAGGAATAGTTATTAATAGCTCAATATCAGCTTGCTTGGGGGAGGATCTTTGCAGAGCATTTCATGAATATGTGATTGGCCCTGGGCTGTTTCACATTTTTATCAATAATTTGAATAAGGCATATATGATATATTTATCACATATGTAGTGATACATATACCCTGGAAGGGACAAGTAGCATGTTTGAAAATGGGAAATGAAGGGATCTTAACAGGCTAAAGTACTGGGGTGAAACAAATGAGATTAAATTCAGTAAGAACAAATGTAAAGTCATACTTGAGTTAAAAAAAACTTCAAAAGTACAAGATGGAAGAGACGTGTGTAGACAGCAGTTTGGCAGAAAAAATTCTGAGGATTTCTGAAGATTGCAATTGGATATGAATGAATTGTATGATAAGACAGCTATTAAGTACATGTAATCTTGGATATCTGTTAGAGAAGCATAGGAAAATGATAGTACTACCCTGGGTTAGAGCATATGTAGATATTATTTTCAGTTCTGGGATCTTTTTAAGAAGAACAGTGACAAGCTGGAGAAGATCCACAGGAGGGTCCTAAGGTCATGTCATATGAGGATCAGTTGAAGAAAAGGGGGTTATTTGTCCTGAAGAAGAATACTTAGGGGGCACAGGAAAATTGTTTTCTACTATTGGAAAAGCTGTCCCATGGAAGATG